GGAGACAGTGGCTAGGGAGGCGACACAATAAAGAAGAAACATGGTGGCCCTAGAAGGGCTGGAGAAACGGCTGTGTGAGCCCGAGAGCCTGAGTCCTGACCCGCAGCACCCAATCAGAAGGCCTAGTCAAGCCAAGCTGGTCTGTAGTTCTAGCTCTGGGGAGGTGGAGACAGAAGGACCCCTGGGGACTTTTGGTCGGCCAGCCTCATTGAAATGTTGAACTCCAGGTTCAGTGAGAGTCCTGTCTTGAAAAATAAGATGGAAAATGGTTGAGAAAGACGCTCGACATTGACCTCTGGGTCCCACATTTGCAAGAACACATGTGCATGCACAATACCCCCATATACACATACACAGACAACGGAGTCTGCACTTGCTGAATGCAGCCAGCTCCCTGTGGGCCCTTGTGCTGGACTAAAGTCAAATTCTGAAGAGTCAAGGGTGTGCTGGAGACTTGCTGGACAGACCTTCCTGACCAAGACAGCTGTGGAGATGGGGGATGCCCCAAGCCAGAGGACTCAAAGTCTCTGTGGGTGAGCGGGCATGGGGTTCTGTGTGTGAATTTGTCTTAGAAAGCTCGTTTTCAAAAGTGATGGCAGGTCATGGAAGATACTTGAAAGAGACAAAAGATGCTGGAAATGCCAGTATCTTTAAGGACTTAACTGCTGGCTTCAGGTTAAGATACAAGCAAACCTATGGTGACATAAGAGGGGTCCAAGACGGTCTGTAAGAGACACCAGCAGGCATGTTAGTTTTCCAGAGCTGCTTTTACCAAGGACCACAGACTGTGTAGCTTCCATAGCAGGCCTTGATTTTCTCACAGTGCTGGAGTCTGGGTGATGAGACCACCACATTGGCCATTCTCTTCTTTGGACGGCCACCCTTCCTCTGCCTCTTTATGGCTATCCCTCTGGGCCCACATACGCCCTGAGGTCTCTCTTTTCAAAAAGGTACCAGTAACGTTAGATACCCCCAATTGAACACACACACACACACACACACACACACACACACACACGCATACACACATGCACGGCTTCATTTCAACTTACCTCTTTATGTACAATCCACTTATATTCGGAGATACTAGGAGATGGGGCTTTCAGTGCATAAATCCAAAGAGAGATGGCATTGCTCAACACAAGAAATTGTGTGATTACCCTGAGAAATGCAAGTTGTTACAACTGGTAAAATTTTGAAACCTTGGGGTAGTTTTCACTGACAGTGAAATCCATTCCCAGTAGCTGGGATACAGCCATACAGGTACCTAGCTGCTATCTTTAAAAAAAGATTTTATTTTAATTGTGTGCACTCATGTTCACATGGTAACACACACACGCGCGCATGCATGCACACACACACACACACGCACACACACACACACATGCATATGCAGGTGCCCACAGAGGTCAGAGTCACTATATCCCTGAACCAGAGTCGGGAACTGCCTGACATGGGTGCTAGGGCCAGAACTAAGGTCCTCTGAAAACAAAACAAAACAAAACAGTATGCCCTCTTAATTGAGAGATCATCTCTCCAGCCCCAGCTGCCATCTTCAGCACATGTTATGCCCAAGGACACTGTGGATTGAGAACCAGGGAAAATGTAAAAGGCATGCAACCATTTCTTTACCCAACAGTGAAGCATCATACCCAATTGCATTGCAGTTGAAAAAGCTAGTTTTCTGGGCTCTGTTGCATGAACAGAACTTATGCACATAAGACTGGGAAAGGAATAGAGGACTTGGTAAACGGCCAGTTTTTGTAGGCCAGTCCCAGTTCAAAATATGATCCAGTTATTCTGAGGAAGTACTAACTATACCAGTGGTTCTCAACCTTCCTGATGCTGTGACCCTTTAATACAGTTCCTCGTGTTGTGGTGAACCCCAACCATAAAATTACTTCATTGCTATGTCATAACTGTAATCTTTGCTACTGTTATGAATTATAATACAAATGTCTGACTTGCAGAATCTCTGATATGCAACCCCCAAAGGGGATCACGATCCACAGGTTGAGAACCACTGCACTAAACAGTCAAGAAAACAAAGATAAAGCATCATGGATTCCCCCAAATTCCCAAAGTCATAATGAACCTTGATCATGAGTAATTCTCTCCTACTGTCTTCAGGTCACAGAATACATAGGAAAAGACAATTCTTGCGCTGTACACCAGACTCCACAGACAGCGCTATTTGAGGTCACTGTGGAGACAGAGACTGTTGGTCACACCCATGTGCTGCAGCTTACAGGTAGCAAAGCCGTCAAGAAAACAAAGAGGATGACGTATGTGTAAGATGTGGATTCCAGGAAAACTACACCCGTGGCTACAAACATATAATAATCAGAAAAGAAAAACGAAGCACTTTAAAAGCCTGACCAAGCCAGATGGCCCTGGGGACGGCAAGATGATAAAGCATTGAGACCATTGGCTCTCCTTTCGTCTGGAAGTCATACTCAGCCTGCGAAGGCCCCTCTAGCAAGAGGGTCTAGAGACCCAAGCTATCGATTTTGTCCTATTTGGAGCATGTCCTCCTTTTTTTTTTCTCCTGCATAATCAACTGGCAGAGAACTAGAATGAGATCCTGACATTAGCATTAGTAACCAGCAGAAAATGCAATGAATAAGGAAACAGGATGCAAGGTTTGGATGGTTTTCCGTAGGTTCAAGGTTTCTATAAAGGACGCATGCGTCTTTGCTTTGGTTTATCTTATCTACTTTGAACTCACAAATATTTGGCTTCATCTCTAAATAACTCATCTAACACTTCCCAACCACAGGAAAGTAGCTATACAACAGCAGAGCAGAGAGGAGGCAGAAAGACAATTTTATAAACTGGCTTTTTATGATATGCTTTTTGAACAATCACTTTCCTACAAGAAGACAATTTGTAGCCCTGCACTTATTGTCCCATCAGAAAACCTGTGTTGCGTTAACCTCGGACATTTTAAGTTACAAATGCCTTACAGCACTCAAAGTTGGGTGACGGTGCATTTTCAAATTAAACAACATTTTTGCCTAAAACCAACTCCTTCACAGAAATTAGTCTTGATTTCCACAAAGTTATGAAAAATAAATAGAAGGAATCTTCTATTAAGATTTTAAAAGCAAGCAAATCACTTTAAGGATGCTCTCCAAATCCTTCGTCGTTTCCCTTCTCCGTTTTCATCAAATATGGGAACATTTAACCTCACAGGAAGAAGTGGGTGGATTTGGAAAGTGGTTGAGTTCTCTAATTTGAATCAATCCACATTAAATACAAGCTGCTGTTGTATTAACAAGTGCAGGACAAACACAACTTATGCTGAGTGGATGTGGATGAAAAGCTGCTTCTCTGTTGCTCGGAAACGGAAGGAGAGAAGGGTTTTCTGAGATTGGGAAGAACCAAGCCAGTCGCGTTTCACATCCTTGCTACTCCCGGCATCCAGCCTCAGAGGGTCATCCGTTCTCCAGACCTCTGCACCAGTAGGTCCAACAGACAGGGCTCTAACTGCCTTTCCTGGCTCTCACGCTGTAAATAAGGGTCTGTTCAAATGAGCTTTATTGAGTGCCATTGCCTCTTGATACCTTTGTGCTGTTGGCTCAGCCCAATATAGCTCTTAAGAGTTGGCTATTGTTCCTAATTACAAAGGAGTGTGTAAGTTTCATTAAGATGTGAATTAAGGTGTAGTTGGCCAATTAAGGTTGTAATTAACCAACTGTATAAACTAAGTAAGGTTAAGATACAAGGTTAAACATTGACTATTGAAGATGTTGTGACCAGAGGCTCAAAGGAACCTAGCCTTAAATTATCTGTGAGAAATTGCAGAACACAAATGAAAACACACTGTAGTGGTAGAGGTGGCTGTGGTAGACATGGCACTCAGATCTCCCAAGGGATGCTTGGCTCCACAGCCATGGGGAATAGTGTTGGTGGGTAAGCTCTAACTAAAAAGGTCTAACTAATAGTTGTTGTTCAGCAACAGTGTCTGAAAAAGTTGCTTGTTATGATAGCTCATGCATGTGGCTAAGTGTGGAGGAAGTCTTTGAGGTCTTCCTCCTCCATCTCCCACCCCCCACAGGCTGTCTGTCCCTTCCTTCACCCTCACTCTCCTGCTTCCAGGGCTGGTCATGGTCTGACCTGGTCATGCACATGCTGGCATGTTGAAAATCTTCCCCAAGCCCAGGGTCACTGTGAAGTCCCACTCAGGGACCCCCTGGAGATATACCCAAGCCAGCCTCACACTAGTAATCATAGGGCACAGTGGGGGAGTAGGCTGCTTGGTGGCACTTTCTCCTCACCAGCTCCCAGCAGGATTGTCTAGGTGTGGAGGTGGCTGTCTCCCCTTCTTCCCAATATGCCATCCAAGGAGTTCTCCCACATTTCCCATTCCTGCTCTCTGGACATCAGCTGTCCTGAGGAATGCTGGCCCTTGTTCTCACCTCCCGCCCTAGCATGGTCCACTGAATGGGCCCTTTCCTTGGGTTCTCTCACCCCGTCCTCCTCCAAAGAGAGTTCATGAGGAAAATGCAAAATCACTTCCATCTCGAAGCCTTCTGCAAAAAAGCCCCTACTAGGGACAGCTCACGTTCCTACTCATTCCTAGTCTTTCTACATTAGATGTGGATTTTGTACACTGCAAGAAAGACCGCGGGATGTCTCATGCATGTCCTTCCAAGGAGCCGAGAGAAATTTATGGAGAAAAAAAAGCTAGTATTTACTGGGACTTACTCTATGTCAAACATCCTGCTGAGTGCTCTACATATTTATTTCATTTAATCCTCATAACACCCTGAAGAGGTTGGTATGAATGGCTGTATTCAGCAAGTGAGGAAACACAGGCCTAGGGAGGTAAGTGATTTGGCTTGTACCTATAAGTCAGCAGAGGCGAGCTCAGATGCACTTTTTGCTGTCTCCCTCCAGAGCTAGGTGGAGCATCTAACACCACATACAGAGACAGACGCAGCCCACAGACCAGGCTGATGTTGGCAGAGACATCAGGACAGGCTGCAAAAGTGGGCAGATGGATGGGCTTCTCCTTGGAGTCAGGGGAGAGTGATGCTTTCTTTTCTCTCTTTAAAGGATTCGGCTAGAGCTCCAAATGGAACTGGGAAGGAGATCTGAACAGTTGAGTTGCTTGGCTTCATTTTGATCGTGCGCCTAATAATCTGTCATCATTTAAAGGCCATTTCCTCCGCACCTGCATCCAGAGTGCATCCAGAGGCTGAGGCCTTGAGGAGAAATCACAGAGTCCCTGTTCTGTTCCTTCTCAGTCACGTGTCCCACTTCCAACCATGCGCAGCATGTAGGTACCATGGCTCCCGCAGCCTAGGAGATGAAAACTGGGGGGGAAAGGAGGCAACCACGTCCAGCCTGCCAGCCTTCCTGACGTGTCAGCATTGGGGACAACAAAGACAGAAATAACAAAAAGACAAAACTGTGGATTCAGGGGTAATTCATTCCATTTAATCTGGGAGAGACCTGAAGATGGTCAGTTTTCCATGACTCTCCGCATGGATGTTTTTCTACACCGTGGAAGAAATTCACAGGCATCAAATCTCATGCCCAGATGTTTAAAATTGGATCTTGCTATGACAGTTTAGTGACAGGCAGGAATTTTCTTCTTTCCTATTGCTCCAGGGTTTGTCAGGGAAAGCATTATATATAGGTAGACTGATTTATTTTAATAATTTAATATATGCATATATTTGGCTCTCTATTGGGTCATAAATCAAAGAGCCAAACAAGGGGGTGGTGGCATTTCAATTCCCCTTTGCGTATCTGGCATGGTAGGTGCCAGAACTTTGGCTTTATTCTCCTTATTCTCCCCAGATCCTAGGGTTTCCTGGTCCCACTTATGACCCTGGCTTCTGCGTTTCAATATCCACCTCTGGGAACCTGGGGACCTGCCTTTGAGCTCAAGCATCTTTACAGTACCTATTTGCTTGTTCCGAATACAGGACCTGGAAAGAAAGCGAAGTTCAAATTGGTCCTTTAAGAATTCTGGCGGTGGGGTCTGGAATCCAGCAGACCTGGATGAAATCCTGACTCCCCTGCTTGTTAACTGTTTGACCTTGGACAAATTAGTTCAGTTTCCTCTGAGCCTCAGTCTGTAAGTGGATATATGGATATTGTCACATATGGGTCAGGCTACTCTTGGGCTGAAGTGGGAGTGTGTGGGCTGAGCCCTTCAGCACGGGAGATGTCCTATATAGGATCAGTTGGTGTTAGGAGAAAGGTCAGTATGCCACACCAAGCTCCTATCTAGCATCCTAGAAACACTATAAGTGAAAGGAAGCCATGGGCAAAGCCCACATGCTACCTAATCCCTTATATAAAATGTCGAGAACAGTCATTCCTATAGAGATGTATAGGACCAGCAACTGCTTAGGGTTGGAAGTTGGAGGGCTGGGGTTGACTACTAGTAAGCATGGCATTTATTTGGGAGCATTCTGGAAATAAGTAATCATAAGGGTTGAAGAAATGTATGAACATACTAAAACCCTACAGAGCCGTATTTTTAGAGGGCTGAATTTTATGTATGTGAATTTACATGTTTAAGAATTTTTAATAGAAAATGTGTTATGTAGCTAAAAGCTTGAACTCTGAAGCCAATTCATCTTGTGGAATCTCTTCCCCATCTCCAGCCCTGTAAGAAGAATGAAATGTCATCTTGCTGGAAGCCTCGACTGCTTTCTAGGCAAACCATTTGTTCTGTGAAGACTACACAATAAATGTCAACCCCGGGCAGTTTTGGCATTTGTGGGAGCGTAACACGCAGTTCTCATCTGCCTGCATGAGGCTGCTGAGCAGCGAGGATTTATCGACAGAAAGAACCAATCATCAAGCCTCTCCAAGTCCAGAGTTTTTCTGTATCTTGTCTCATCTGGGAGATGGTCCAGGTGGTAAGTCTTCTTCCATCTGGGATGAAAAAGCAGGAGCTGGGAATGGAAAAGTTGATCAGATTAGCTGTGAATTTTTTGACGTATCATAGTCATTAGTTCAAAGCGAAAATGAGGACCCAGGTGTCCATGCATGCATGGCATGTGCCGGTGTCCGTGTGCCCATCGCTCATATCATGGAAAGATGAAGAAGGGACTTTGTTAAAGGGAAAATGGGGGACCTTGGGATGAGGCAGTGAGCATCCCAAGACCGGAATGTATTGATTCTGGAATTTTATTGAGTCTACCCAATGCTTCCAAAACATGATTGAAAAAAATACACAGCTCTCAGCCTCAGCCTCGGGCAAGGCTGTCAGCACCACTTAGGGACAGTTTCAACATGAGCAGGGCTACAAGATTTTCATGAAAAATTATTTCTTCACTGTTTTTGATGTCCATGTAGATTTGTGGCCTTTCGTTTTATTTTTTAAAATGGTTAAATATGTGTTTTCGAAAATCAAAGCCTTTTGTCTTGTTTTGGAATTTCTTCCAGATTTATGACTGGCCAGTGTTCTGTATGTCACACTGAGTTCTTTGGAGAATCTGGAGCTGGAAAAATGTCAAGTTGAGGTAGGAGGATTATAAAAAGGCAAGCTTTTTTCCCCCCACCACATTAAAGCATCAAGAAATTTATCAAATTCTTTACTGGAAAAATGTGAGGTGTGTGTGTGTGTGTGTGTGTGCGCGCGCGCGCTCATGTTAGTGAAAGGGGCACATACGTGTGCCTGTGTGAGTCTACACTGAGATCAGAGAATAACCTCCAGCTTCATGCTTCTGCACCACCCACCAAGTTTTCTTTCCTTTTTATTGGAGACAGTTCCTTCTGGCCTGGAACTCACAAAATAGGCTACACTGGCCCGCCAACAAGTTCCAGAATCCACTGTCTCCCCGTCCCAAGCACCGGGATTCTCAGGCTCTGCTTCTTACACATGTTCTGGGGCTCACAACCTGGGTCTTTATGCTTTCATGGCAAACACTTTACTGACTGAGCCATCTCCCCAGCCCGGAAGCACTGTTTTTAAAACCCTCCTGGGAGCTAGGTGGATTATAGAGACTGAAAAAGTTTGGATACAGAAAGAAAAATCCAAGTGAGGGTAACATAAGAAGCTCTGCCCAGATCCACTGGGCTCCCCTCTGAGCTTGCTCTCATGGAGAATGTTCAGCAAGGCTCAGTGAAGACTGAAACGCTGTGTTGTGTGCCATTACAAAGAGACCAAACAGGGCACAGAAAACACTTGTGCAGGTGACCTGAACAGTTATCCAAGAAGCAAGTAGCTTCTACTATGTATCAACCAACTCCCGTGTCAAGTCAAAAGCTAGGGATTTTGTCATCAAAGAGGCCTTTCTGACTGAGTCAGTTTTGCTGATGAAAGAAACGGGAAGTCTGTGAGGTAGAAATCACTGAGTCCAGAATCAAGCAAGGGTCTGTGTGAAATTCCAACCAATTCAGTTTTTGGCCAAAACAAACGAATGAACAAACAAACATCCTGGCTGTTGTACTTGCAGTCTGTTCTGATACCATGTTTCTAGAACCTTCCGCTGTGTGCTTTCTCTATGTTTAGAGGTGCTGTCCCATCTGCAGCAGGGTAGGTCACTCTTCCTAATGCCTTCCTCTTGGCTGGTGGGCAGGCGAGAACAGCGAGGTATCCAGGCTCACCCTTTCCCGAAGCCAGAACCTTAGCGAATCAAGGTCTAGATCAGTGGTTCTCAGTCTTCCTAATACTGAGACCCTTAACACGGTTCTTCGGGTTATGGTGACCCCAGCCATAATTATTTCGTTGCTACTTCATAACTGTAACTTTGCTACTGCTATGAATTATAATGTAAGCATCTAATATACCTAAAAGCGTCATGACCCCTAGGTTGAGAATTAAGGTTCTAGAATCCGTTCCTTCAGTTGCCCAGCAACCAGCTTCCCTGCAGCAAGCTTCCATGCTTGCTGTTGTAGCTCAGAAGCTCAACCATTTCACTACAGTCTCTCTAACAGCTGCCAAACTGGTCACCTTTGTAGTCTTGCCCCTCCCAGGCCACTCTTCCCTAGAACCATTTCTTCTCCAAAGAATGATTTTTTTGTGTGTGTGAAACTTCTCCTACTGAGAAAGTTTTCACCCTTGTTCCATTGCTCTAAGACTAGGTTTGATCGTCTGAAGATTTGTTAAGGTGAGTTTATGACTTAGGGTTCATCTTTGAAAATAGGTTTACTGTAGGAAACTCCCGACCTAGATCAGGACTGGATTTGGTTGTGAGTGAAAGAAAGCTAAAAATAGCAATGGTTTAGGTTTCAACATTGGAAAGCTGATTTTTTTCTCTCTCCTTCATAGAAGGCAAATGACTTCCAGCCTTCTAGGATCCAAGTTCTTCTGTGTCTTCAGCAAACTCTCTCCCTATAGCTTGCTCATCCCTGGACAAGGGATGCTTGAGATCCAGCTCTTGAATCCACATTTTCACACATAGGAAAGAGGAAAAACCAAAGACCTTGCCCTTCCCCGCTGTGGTCCCTTCCAAGACGCTCCACTTAGGAGTTCCTGTGTGGTTCACGTGTGATTGTCACAGAGACACATCTGCAGCTAACCCGAGTGGGAAGTGTGGTCATGGGCTTTGGCAACATTTGTCCTGTAAAAACAAAAACAGAACAAACAAACAGAAAACAGAGATCCTGTTTCCAAGGTGATAAAAGAGACTAGGGACAGCTGATATTGTACTCTGGCAGTGGAACCTCCAGAAATGTTTCTTTCTGCTCTGGGGACACCCCCCACCCCCTGACCTATGCTTCTCTAGCAGTATTGACAAAGCTTGTGTTCCTGCCATTCAGGAAATCTCACAGGTGTAGGTGATCACCGGGTACTGAAGCCCTAGGGTTTCCTTTATATTTCTTTAAATAGACCATTCTACTTAACGTGAGTGTGAAAAGCCAGTCATAGATATCTGAGACTATGACCTGGCTTATAACTCCATCTGAGAAACCTGTGCTGCAAGCATTTCCCAATGGCGGACACAGGGAGGCCCGCTGGACAGGAGATTGGACTCTGTCCTGAGACAGACTCAGGAGAGAGAACAAGTCAATCAGGGGTCTGAGGGAAGAGCCTCCTGACCAGAGTTCAGTTAGGGCCTCGAGGGAGGAGGGGCTTAGCATTTTCCATCACAGAAGAAACCAGCATGACTAGGGAGTTCTGAGGGAGGGAGGGCAAGGAGCATGGTAGGCACACAGAAACAGAACAGTCATGAAGGCAGCGCTGTGGGGAGGTCACAGTAAGGACCCAGCATAGAGCCCTTGAGTATCTATGGTTCCAGCATTTCCTACTGGAAGACTTGAATAAGTTGGTCTAGGCCTGGAGATACAGGTCATCACTGGGGCACTTGCCCAGTGTGTTTCAGGTCCTAAACGATCTCCAGGTGGCGTTGGAGAAGAGGATTGTTACTAAATCTCTCTGCGTCTGAGTCTCAATGTTTTTCCATCTCCAAATGGTTCTAGAACAGTATCTTTACAGCATGGCTGTCTGATTTCATGAGTTAACATATGTAAAGCACTTCAAATAGTGCCTAAAGCATGATAAGCCCTCATACCTGCCATTAAATGATGTGTCCAGCATTTTGCTGTGCTCATCTTTCCTCTTCAGAACCCTGTCTCCTTCACTCGCTCTCTCAATACACGCCAGGGCTTTTCACAAGCTGTATGGCTGATTTTCTAATATCTTGTATTCAAGACTCAGCTCCTGTCATACTTGAGTGAGTTGGATTAGACATGAATCTGTATCAGAAAACTCTAAATGTAGAGCAGATTATAAATACAAATATTATTTTTTTAAGTAGAAACAGAAATGCTGATGCCGCGGCTATCGAAGACCCCATCCTTCCATCTCAGGTCACAAGGTTGTTGCCCTAACTACTGAACCCTGCCACTATCCAACAAAAGAAGTCAATATATAAGTGAATAAAATAGGAAGGATTCGGGAAGTGACATTTCCTCACGGGCCAGTGTACCCACGAGCATCATTTGATTCACCGATGGTAATCGCTGATGGCTGATCCAGAGAATGAACACTCCACCCCTTAAAGAGCTTGAAATGGAGCACGAGAAATATGGAAAGATTATTAATACTTTAATAGATAAATAGTAAGTTCCAGATAAATGATTCAGATCACCCATGTTGACATTCTAATCAAGCCCCCCTTCTTCCTCTGCCTTCTGCAAAAGCAGGTCTTCCTGTGTTGTCCTTGAATGCCCTCTCCCTGCCTCTCCTAGTGCTGGATAAGGGTGAATCACCATGATAGTTAAACATCTCCAAGTTCAATGTTGATAAAGCAATAATACTTTGGGGTGGTATTTGGAGATCTATTTGGCTGGTTAATCTCATTTTTAGTACAGACATAAGTCAAGAAGATGATCGAGATTGGCAGCAACCTACAGCATCAGGTCAAATCTTCTCCACCAATTGTTTTGTTTGGAGTGTGTGTGTGTGTGTGTGTGTGTGTGTGTACAGAAGCCAGAGGAAGACAAGTGTCCTCCTTTACCACTCTTGTTCCCTTGAGACAGGGTGTCTCATTGAACCTGAAACTCACCATTTCAGCTAGACTAACTGGTAAGAGAGCTCCTAGAATCTGCCCATCTCTGGTACCAGTGCTGGGGTTACAGGCACATTCAACCCTGGCCAGCTTTTATGTGGACTTTGGGGATTCAAACTCACGACCTTAGAATTATACAGAAGGTTCTTTTTCCCACAGAACCATTTCTGTGATATCTGAATTTGTTTTCGTAAGTAAAGCTTCATTGGAAGAGAACCCCGGCTGTTGATTTCCACATTGCCAGTTCACTTGGCATAGGCAGGTTATTTCAGCAGAGTCGATGTGTAGCCAACAGAACCAAAAATATTTACTATCTGGCCCTTTGCGGAAAGGCTTGCTGATTCCTGAGCTAGGGCATTTGCAATGTGGGGTTTACACGAGCACAGACTGTGGTGACAAACCCAAGACCAGCCTGCCATTTTCCACAAGTGGTGTTGGGCTATGACATCACCTCTCACCAACAGGTTCTCTCACTTCTAAAATAAGGCGAAGGCTGATATCACAAAGCTATTGTGACTCATTTTTAAGACAGAGTTTTGCCGTGTAGCTCAAGTTGGCATCTAATTCACAACCCTCCCGCCAAGTGCTGGGATTACAGGGTAGGAGCCGCCACATCCAGTTCCCATTGTGATTATTCAATGAGACTATATAAAATTCTCAACACAGTGCTTGGCACACTAAGTTATTATTTTTTCTCTCTCCCATTGTTCTCTCTGCGTAGCAACTGATTGGAAAATAATACCGCATCTATTTGGACTTATCTATTGAGTAATTCCTGAGCAATAATAATAGCCTTTGCAGTTTAGATACTATCTAGGCAGGAAGAGTACCGCACATGAAAGAGTTCGAGATTCTTCCAAAGTGAGCTTCAAGCACGGTTGCCAATTTTGCATGCTGTTCAAGTTATTTACAAGGGACATAAAAACCGAAGCAAACTGACTTTTGGAGAAAGAACAGCATCTATTGGTTCCCGTTAACCAAAAGTCACTGGGTTAAATCTTTGGTACATGGTGAGCCCAGACACGCAAACCACATCAGGAAGAGTCTGCTCTCCTCCTGGCAGA